TGTTCCATCTTTATTTGACCCTCTAACTCTAGCACTTTCTATTCTATTTTAATTCTACTTTATCTTCTTTTTTTATTAAAAAAAAAACAACATAAACAAAAAACACTAGCTTTCTATTTATTCTATTCTATCTACTTGTGTTTCTTTGTGTGTGTGTGTATATATATGTGTGTGTGTAAAATATATGCATGTATGTGTGTGTGTATATATATATAGTGTGTATAATATATGTATGTATGTGTGTGTTTGTTTGTATATATGCATGTATATATATATATATATGTGTATATATGCATGTATGTGTGTATATATGCATGTATGTGTATATACAGTGGGTACGGAAAGTATTCAGACCCCCTTAAATTTTTCACTCTTTGTTATATTGCAGCCATTTGCGGTGCTGTGTGTACATTAATGAGGAAAAAAAATTAACTTAAATGATTTTAGCAAATGGCTGCAATATAACAAAGAGTGAAAAATTTAAGGGGGTCTGAATACTTTCCGTACCCACTGTATATGTGTATATATGCATGTATGTGTGTATATATATGTGTATATATGCATGTGTGTGTATGTGTATAGATGCGTGTATGTGTGTATATATATGTGTATATATGCATGTGTGTGTATGTGTGTATATATGCATGTATGTGTGTATATATATGTGTATATATGCATGTGTGTGTATGTGTATAGATGCGTGTATGTGTGTATATATATGTGTATATATGCATGTGTGTGTATGTGTGTATATATGCATGTATGTGTGTATATATATGTGTATATATGCATGTGTGTGTATGTGTGTATATATGCATGTATGTGTGTGTATGTGTGTATATATATGTGTATATATGCATGTGTGTGTATGTGTGTATATATGCATGTATGTGTGTGTATGTGTGTATATATATGTGTATATATGCATGTGTGTGTATGTGTATAGATGCATGTATGTGTGTATATATATGTGTATATATGCATGTATGTGTATGTATATATGTATGTATATATGTGTGTGTATATATATATATATATACACACACCTTGCTACGTGTACTGTGTTAGGCTAACCGAGACTTGTCATTTGCACTTATATATTGCTGCTCTTTTGTTAGTTTTGACTGCTTTTATTGTCCTCATTTGTAAGTCGCTTTGGATAAAAGCATCTCCTAAATGACTAAATAAATAAAAATAAAATATAATGTGAGGATGAAACTCTCCCATGAAGGATACACAGCTTCCGCATGAAGTGTTTGGACGCATACAGGTGTGCAACAGTTTGCGTTCTCTAAACATTAAACAAGGCGAAGCAGTGAAGCTGTCATATTTGTTGTGTCAGGCAGCATTTCCTCCTCCGTGTTTGCTCACGGCTCCCCCCACCGGACTCGCTGTAAAGTGCTCGGTTATTTCAGCGAACCGCCCCGTTCACTCACTTGAGGAGACGCCGCCGACTTTCTTCTTCACGCTCGCTTCTTGATGGATATTTTCAAACTTGACAGGTAACGCCACGCGCTCTCTTCGCGTTTTCCTCCGCCGTCTGTGACGCCCGCGGGCTTCTCTGCGCTCGCTGCTAACGGAATTTTTTGGTACGTCATTAATATGGCGCCAAAAGAGTTATAAGTGTGAGCGTATGTTGTGAGAGACGCCTCAGCGCAGCCGGTGCTGCTCGCGACGCTAAATGTTAACCGCCGCATCAATCTTGTAGCGCTTTTTTCGACGCGCAGTTAGCTGGATTCTGAGGAAACGCTTACTTTTGGGGATGACGAACCAATAACCGTTGGCGTACTAAGCGTACAAACAGCAATTTCGGTGGAGTCGACGGACTGCGCGTCTGTGGATTGAATCCGCCGTCTGTAACTTTTATTTCGGGCCGCCTGGCCTCAGATGATCCGCTGAATTCGCATCGAGGACAGACATCACACCCTCTTGTGCGAATAAGGTAAAGCGATTCCTCCACATCTCCACACTATCAAGTTTGGCTGAATTCTGGCAAGTTCTACCGCCTCGTTTTGCGCAAACCTGTCTGTTTGCGACCTGTGATCAACTCTTCTAGTTGTTTTGGGAGCTTTTACTCGTCTGACTGTGCCAAAGTTACTCGGAAGTGCAGTGCGCTGAACCTGAACCTGTTTAGACTCGAATCAGGGGTTTGTTTTCGTAACGTGCTAAGTTGTGAGCGCTGAATGGCCTAGCATGCTTCTGTGAACGGATTCACAAACACCCTGCGGGTCATCGGCCACGCCCCCTACAGCCGCTGCTGCTTACGGCACACTGACGTCGCGCAGAGGAGGCGTGGCTACGCGTGAGGTGCGGGGAAACATGCTTCATTATTTCATACCTGAGTCCGGTTTAAAATGCGTTCATCGGTGTTTACACTATATACTAGTATGTTACTAATCTAGTTTACCGATCCAGGGGCTTGAATGCATGTGGTTAGCTGACATCAAATGTTATGCAGTGCTCGTTTTGACTCAACTGGTTCAACAGTAGATCATGGCATTAGATTACTTACAAATTGTAATCCAAATTACATGTAGTTACTTAGTAATGTAATCCATTACATTACACATTTTAGGTAATATAATCGTACTGTTTGTTTGATCTCACTCGTTTATCACATTGATTTAAATAGGGTAGTCTTGTACCGTATTGATATAACGTGAGGTGCGGGGAAACATGCTTCATTATTTCATACCTGAGTCCGGTTTAAAATGCGTTCATCGGTGTTTACACTATATACTAGTATGTTACTAATCTAGTTTACCGATCCAGGGGCTTGAATGCATGTGGTTAGCTGACCTCAAATGTTATGCAGTGCTCGTTTTGACTCAACTGGTTCAACAGTAGATCATGGCATTAGATTACTTACAAATTGTAATCCAAATTACATGTAGTTACTTAGTAATGTAATCCATTACATTACACATTTTAGGTAATATAATCGTACTGTTTGTTTGATCTCACTCGTTTATCACATTGATTTAAATAGGGTAGTCTTGTACCGTATTGATATAAAAATACAAAGAGAAAGAAAATATATTCCATTCGTTGTTATTAACGACATGAAGTGTGTTAAACATTACGTTACGTCAAGTTTTTCCAAACGGGTTTGTGAGTTTAATGAAAATCTAATTATAAAAAAATTATAAAAATGTAAAATTAAAATAAATAATTTTAAAATAACAACATTCGAGATAAAACACTTAATAAAAAAGATGAGATATTTACCCATGGCTGTTTTTCAAATGTACGTTATAGGGTGCGACGATAAATCGATTCGATTTTCCGAATGCATCGCGATTCTCTCTGGAATCGATTCTGAGCTTAGATTTTGAACAGCAGATGGCGCTCTAATCTAGTTTTTATCCGCACACTCAAATGCTCATGGAATCGATTCCAGAGAGAATCGCGATGCATTCGCGACAACCGCAGAATCGTTCCACTAAATGATTTATCATCGCACCCCTAGTACGTAACAGATTTTCAGTAATATATCCAAGACTCTCAGTCACTGACTTTTACTAAAATTGTGTTATTTACAATCCCCCGTTGTTAAAAATTGTTTCGATAAAACACTTTAACCAACTGCCAGGGGTCGTTGTATACCTAAACATTTACCATGCACATGACTACTGTTTTGATATGGCTAAAAAACGTATTATGTCACTATTATCTTCACAAAGTAATGTCTAGAGTCATGAAATTATTATTTTAGTCATCAACTATGTTTTGTTATTTTATGTTCAATAGACAATATATGAGCAATAATAATTCACCGCACTGCATAGGATGTATGATGCAAGCGCACAGTTTCGTCTAATTAATTATTAATTTGTTTAGTTATATAATTTATAATTTCAATAAGAGAACAACACCAATAAGCTTGGGGTAATCATATAAATTGTTTTATTCATTACATCATAGATATGTTTTTTCAGGAAACGGGTAGACTAGAATAAATAGCAACACAGTTGCTAACAATAAATTAACAAAAATGTATAATTAATCCAAAGTTTGAACATTTACGAGTAGGGTTGCAAAGAGGTGGAAAATTTCCGGTAACTTTCCAAAAATCCCTGGAATATTCCAAAAAATCCTGGAAAGTTTCCAAAATTTCTGCAATGTTTCTGAAATTTACTGGAAATTTTCCACATTTTTGAAACCCTATTTATGAGAAGGCTAAAATAAATTTTTGTTTAGCAATTTTTTATCTTTTATTGTTCGCTACTGTGTTGCTATTTATTCTAGTCTGCCCGTTTCCTGAAAAAAACAAAACAAAAATACATTTCCGATCCGGTGAATTATTATTGCTCACTATTGCCTATTTAGGGTATTTTAGTAATTTAAATAACATTTATTTAAATTATCTTAAGTGATTAATGACATTTTATTATAATATTACACCAACCAAATATGTATTTATTTATTTCTAATTCTCGTTTAGGAAATTATGATCCGCACTCACGTAATGTAAAATAAAAGAAAAAAGAAGATTGTTCTCGTGAGTGCGGATCATAATTTCCTATACTAAGTAACTCAACAGATTGACGCACCAAAATAAAAAGATCAAGTAACGCAAGAGCGCAGTGCAAACGACGTTTCTAATTCTCGTTGTCATTGCAGGCTGGTTTAGCCTTTTCACCGTTAAGAAAACTGACTAGTGTAGCCTGCTTAAAATAGACTTGAACATAAAACAACAGGTCAAAAACATAGTTGATGACTAAAAATAATAATTTCATGACTCTAGATTAGGCCTGTCGCGATAATTAAATAACCGTCTAATCGCGATTATTTGATCTAACCACCGCGATTATTGTGCTTTTTATACGACACAAGGGGGAGTCATACACCAAAAGAAACAAAAGAGCACCAGTTTGCTTTTCATGCACAGGGCTCCAGACTCATTCTTCCCACTGGTTGCTCTTTTGCAACTAACTTTCAAGATATTAAAAAAAAAAAATTTAGGCTACAACATGGGATTATTCAATGCATGCTGATGAACTTTTATCATAGTTTATAGTTATATGGAAACGAAAGTGGTTAACATTCAACCCGTTCTTTATCATCAGTAGTATTATTTGTGATTTGAATGTTGTGAATGGGAGTTTCTCTTTTGCTGTGTTAAGCCGCGGGCTTCGGATGCTTTCACTTTCGAATTCGCGATCTTGTCGTCACTGTTTTGCTTACATACATCTACACACCTTTCATTTTTTAAGACTAAAACAAAAGATGGATTCATTGTTATTCTTAATTAAAAAGCACAACAACAATAAATCAGTAAGATACAATGACAAACTAGCGAACAAAACGTTTATTAATAAAAGCGAATAAGATGAGGCATGGCACACACCACATGCTGTATTATATACCAACTAATAAATTACAGAACGTTTAGCAAACACTGAGGAATCAAATAAATAAATAAA